AGATTGGTAGTGGCAAATACATATCATATAAGAGAAGTACTACTTACTTTAATAAATCTTTCCTTAGTTCTCTATTTGCTATTTTTTTAAGATTATATGTAAGAATAAAAATATATTAATTTATTAACCTTTGGTTTGAGCCAACAGTTAGAGTAACAAAATTCTTTTCTAGATCAGAGGCTAGATACAGACTAAAAGTATCTCTTTCTTATATAAGTAATATAAACGTATTATTTTAAAATAACTTCGCTGTTTTGTTTTAGCGCTTTTTTTAAAGGAGAGATATATATGTTTCAAAAGCACCTTATCACTTCACCCATTTTCCACCTCATTTCTTGACCAAAAATGTCTCTATAATTCACAGTCTAATAGTCTAGACTGTAAATAGATGTGTTTTTTACCACAGTTAGGAATAATTTTTGCATGCTGATAAAAAGTGTAGTGGTATTATTACAATCGTTAGCCATTGACCATTGACCATTAGAATCGTTAGCCATAGCTTACGTTTAGATCATTAAAACGATGTTAAAGACATCTTAAAAACTATTTGTTGAACTTAGCTTTTAGTCTGTGATATCTAACATGAAGTATATGATATTATATTAATATAATATGAAATATTTGATAATTTGTTAATGGTTTTACACATAACTAGGGTGTAAAATCATAAATAATCACTTTAAATTTAAAAGATATAGAAACCCAATTTCTAAAAAATTTGACTGAAAAAATTTTTTTTTTTGGCTTTAACAGTTGTAGTTGTAATTGTTAATGATTATTATATTTTATATACCATATTTATTATAGAAGTAGTTTCTATAGATATTTGATGGGTTAAAATATAGGAAGTCAAAAGTAATGTAGCATATATAAAAATAAAAACAATTTGAGCTATATTTCGAGATCCTATATCATGCGAAACCTAATTAGATATTTGAGATCAACTGTCCAAAATAGATTATCACTTTATAAATTGATGATCTGCTTAACATAGTATCATAGATTTAATTAATACAGGATCCATATATATCGCAAATAAAAGCATTAATTTTGATTTTCAGAGTCAATTATGACGAGACAAAAAAGCTTGTTATTTGTAGTCCAAAAATAAGTAAATACCGGAAATATGTATTTTCAAAAAATATCACTTCTGATGGGAATTTCGCAGTATTCAAAACAGCTGTGTGGTCGGCCAAAAATTCAATTAAGAGAAACCACAATTTTGTTGTTTCTTACTATTCAAAAACTTATCTGTTAAAAATGTTAATATTTGTAAAAAGCTTTCATTTATGTTGTAAACTAACCGCAGGTATAAGTAGGGAATGTATAAGTAATAAGTAGTATAAGTAGGGTGCCAAGCAACTCAGCTATTTATCTATGCAAGTTACAATTGACATCACGAATGGGTAATGTGTTAACCATAAGCCTTTAAAATATACTATAGTATTTTGCTTTTCGATTATAAAATCTTCATGATATCTGATACTTAATTCATGTTTCATATCCTTAAAAACTTTGAACAGTTTTTAAGTTCCTCTAAGAAATCAATTTGGTTTTAATAGAAAGCACAGAGGATACTAAAAATGTCATTAATACACCAATTTCTATATAAATCAACAAGTTTAAATTTTAATACAAACTAGCTTAAATCTTAAAAAACCTTTTAAATAATAAATTATTTTCTGTATTTTTACATTTATTTTTAATATTTATCTGCTTTTAAAAGTGCATTAGAGTGTTATTAAAAAAAGTTTTTGGAATATTGTTTTTGTTTAAGAAAATAAAATGTTTTAATGGGTTCCAAGATGTCCATCTCAATAATATTTTATTAAGCACAATATTTGTTGAAGTATCTTGGACAGCTTTAAACATTATTTGGAGGTTAATTGGCTTTTAAAACTTTATTGTTCAATGCTCCTAATTGGCATTATTTCAAACCACATTAAAATTGAGAAAATCGTCATAAAATTGCAAAGTAACAGCACTAAATTAATTTAACTTTGGTAATTATTCGAATAATCAAATGGGTTTACGATTACTTCCTACAAGCTTTGCAAACTGGTTTACGCTAAATCTTAAATAAATACATTAAAAAATTTTCGGACAAACATAATTATAACATTATTTCTTAATTAACTTATTATAAGATTATTTGCCAAAAAAGTGTTGAAGTGTAGATACTTAACCAGTTTAATAAAATCCAAGCAAAGTTGACGGTCAAACATTTTTTTTAAGAAAGCTAGATATAAAGTAATTTAAATTTCAATGGACATATTTATATTGAAGTCGTATATTTTAAAAACATGCATTTTATATATAATTTAATTTAAAATTTGCCATATATACGATTTGCGGTATTTGTATAAGTTTAAATTAGATTTAAAAAATTTAACTGGTTTAACTGTATTATAAGTTGAAATTAAAAATAAGTGGTAAGGTAATTTGCAAATAAAACTTTAAAAATCATTTTAAAATTCAATATTTTGCACAAAAAGAAATGGAATTTATTTTAATTCAATAAATAAATAATTTTAATTTCTAATGAATAAATAATAATTTTTATATTGCATACAAATAATCTCAATGCTGTAGAGTTTTAAAATTAAAACTGAATAAGTGCTTATGAATATTTACTAAAGTAATTAAATCAGACATTGAAAATATTCTTATTGAAAAGTGAAATTATTTATTTGTAGATATTTCTATATTTCAATGAAATATAATTTTAAAAAATTATTTACGAATTTAGCAGAAATGCAGAAATTCATCAAAATATGATAGAAACAAAGTGCCACTATACTGCACTAAAAAACTGAGACAAGATAATAATAAATAAATATTGATAGTTTAAGTAAATGGTAAAGTCTAGGACAGCTATTGCTAATGCTACAAAGTGTATTGCAACAGCTGTCACTTGGACTAAATGCTATTATGCTGTTTTTTTTGCAATTCTTAAGGTGAATTAATGTAATATTTTTAATATTATTGCTTATAAACATATAATTACCATCACTTCATTATAAGAATGTTTTTAATGTCTAACAGTGATTTAATAATTTCGTAGAATAGATAAGACTAGAAGAACAACAAAAAAATAGACCAGAACATATTAACAAAAAAAACTATAACTAACTTGAGAGAGCACTCAAAAAATGGATAAATTGTCTTTTGTAGAGCAGTTCTTCAAATCGGGCAAACTCTGTAGATTCGCCTTCTAACCCAAGAATAACTCAACAGTCTAAAAATTTGAATGGATGTCTCAACCTCTTATAAATGATTAATTTAAAAAATTATATCTAGAATTCATTGTTTAGTAAGTTCTACCAATTTTGTATGTATATTGGATGATTGTGAATAAATAATGTGAATATAAATAATTCTAGAGATATATATATTCTTTGATTATAATCTTAAAATATTTTCAGTGTAGTATTTGCTCCTGTGTTCATTTTATCAAATAGCTTTATGATTTTGATTTTAATATAAACTTGACCGATACCACTTGCAGATTTTTTGTCTATTTTGTACACGAGGGCGGTTTGATAAGTCAGTGACTTTTTGAATAAAACAAATATTTTTCGGCAAATAAACATTTTATTTTTCTACATTATCACCTTTTAGCTCGATATATTTAGTCTAGCGTTTTTCTAATTTTCTTTTTCCCTCCAAATAATAGGACTTATTTTCTCAAACCTCTCAAAATACACATTTGTTTCGGTAACGACTTCTTCATTCGACTCAAATCTCTTACCGCTCAGCCATTTCTTTAGGTTTGGAAACAGAAAATAGTCGCAGGGGGCTAAATCTGAAGAATATGCTGGATAGGGTAGTAGTTCGTATCCCAATTCGAGTATTTGGGATCGTAATGCTTAATTAGCACACGAAATTCAGTTTTTTCCATTTTCGTAAAAATTCACGAGGTTGTCTGCTTTGAAAGGCTATTAAACACCAACTGAATGACGTAGCTTGCTCAAAATTAAAAAGTTGCCCACTGGTAGATTACAGCTGACGGCAGCACTGATGCATTTGGAGTAACTGCGCTGGAAATTTAAAAATCCACTGATTTATCAAACCGTCCTCATAGTTTAAGTATTTAGGGTCGCATAAATCAGTGTTGGAGTTCAAAGTTCTGATTAAAAATATTTTAAATTTCCCTAACAATCTCCTAACGTCTTACTGATATATAATTAGCTTAAAGATGTCCATTATTTTCTGAACACAAAAATTTATGGATTAATTATTCTTTTTATAAAAAATTATTCACTTTTTTTGTCATTTTTGTTAAGTTTAACTTTTATATCCGAATTTAAAATAAAATTACGAGTTTCAATAATAAATAATAATTATTAACTATAATTTCTTCACTTTCATATATCATAAAATCATTTTCATTGTTGTTGTAGTGACAAAAAAGTAGTTTCCGAATGCCTTAAGTAAACATCACAGTAAGCGGTGTGTGCCATTAGTTTCAAAGTTACTAAATTGCATAATTGATTACTGCTAATACGCCAAGCAATTATGCATACTACCAACGTACTTTATGTACAGCTTGTATCTTTGTGTATCTTGTATCTTTGTATCTATTTGTTTTTGGTAGTTGCTATTTTTTGTAATTAAAAGCCGTTTTGATTTGTTTACAACATGCATGATTGCCCAATTTGAATTTATATTAAATTAGCGCCTCTTTAATTGCTCGTCGATGTCGATGTCGATGTTCTGCGGATGTAGGAAACGTCAGTGAAGTGAATTATTTATTATTTGACCGTCTGATATAGATAGAAGTGAGTTTTTATTTGGAAAAATATGGCAACAACATGCAAATTGAAAACCTTTTAACAAATTTCGAAACGAAACAATACAAAGTAAATAAAAAATTGTTTGTCTTAGGTTTTTAGCATTTGTTTATGACATTTAATGTGTTTTTATGAATATTTATGCGATAAACTATTCAAAAAAAAAAAAATGTTAAGTTTTCAGTAAAATGTGAATAAATCACTTACCTTCGCACTAAACGTTTTCTTATGTTTCTTATATTGGCTAACATTTTGACGTGCTCTCTTTCGATTGAGTTAAGTGTCGGCGAAAATTGGTGGATTCAGCACCCAGTAAGTAGCGTCAAAAAAACACTTTCAGTTAATTAAGTTTCCCGTGTCGTAATCACAGTATCAAAACTAAAAAAACGAATTTGGTTCTTCATTTAGGCGCAACCAAATTTCACTGATGAAAGGCAAAAAAAAAATTATAATTATTTTCACTTTTATGTGTCGTTTTTTCGACTTAGAGAGGCTTAAATTTTCAAGTGACACTTTTCATGGAATCTCTTTGATATTCGTTAATTTCGTAAGATACTTTGTAACTACACAATTAAAAAGTTGATGTTGCATAGAGCTTAATTTTTCTTTTCAAATTTATTTTTGTAATTTCTTTTTATTTGTTTACTGATTTTCAATGAATAAATCATTTATATTTGTTTAAGATTTACTTAAACTTCATAAACTTCAACAAATTTTATTGCACAACTTGGCGCCTTTCTTTCTTTCCATTACTTGCTGAATAATCATTTTCTCTTCATCTCTTCATCTCTTCATCTTTTCATATCTTCATGCACTTAATGCTTTCCTCAGAATTAAACTCAAATATTGTATTTTCGCACGTTGCCGCGGGTTTCATTGATATTTTTTAAGTCTCACATTATAAATTTTTTATATGTTTTTATAATTTTTAATTAAGTTTATTGCTATGCTTTCTCAAATGCTACGCATTGTGTGCCTTGGTTTTTTTTTTTTTTTGGTTTTTTGGTTCAAAAAATGTGACAACTTTTCGTTATGGGAAATGTCAATCCGGGCATACGCGATCTGAAGTTTATCTTTGGAGTAGCACTACAGTTGCAGCATGTGTTGCCTCAAAATCTGAAACGAAAAAGATTTCACACATTATTACACAAAAATTTATTTGATAATTAAATTAAATTTGTATATGGGATGAAACTAGTTTAACGCCTGCTATATTGACGAATTTATTGTGGGAAATGGAGAAAATGGAATATTTTCACGTCTATGAATTCACTGGAAATATCAGAGATGTTTGTCTGGATAAAACTATATTAAATTGCGTTTAGGTAATTTATTAATAAAACAATTTTTTTTGTATATAAAATTATGAAGAATTTTAGTTGACTACAAAAGAAAAAAAAATTTAAGAAAAAGTAATCGCTTTTTATAGTAATTTATACTGCAAGTACTGTAGTAATAAATATTTTCATTTCTTGAAAAATATATAACGCTTTTTAGTGAAAATACATTTCTTTTGAAATAATTTATCGACTTTAGCCATTTATCGACTAGAAATATTGTGTTGTTATAATAAAATGGCGAGATGTGAAGTTTGAGGTCTTGAGTCTGGGATTTTTACAGTCCTCTTTTAAAGCAATAAGTGAGTATAGTGGAAATCAGTTTAAATGTAATATGTTTGGAGCATAGATTACATCAAACCTTTTTGACGAAATCTGTAAAGTTTTATTATAGTACCAAAGATGTGTATGGTATAGCGCTGTCTTAGCGGGTATTACACGACGTCACTAGGTATTACACATCATGCACTGCCGACATTATTCTGAACACTCCTCAGCAAAAAAATACAACAAGTATACAAAATAAAATGATTACGTGCGTGCATTTAAACGATTTTTTTGCTTCTATGACTTAAAACATAATGAAATTTGCATGGAAGCCGACAAAAAGCCGATAGTACCTGTATACGAAAAAAAACGAGCAATACTGAGGAAAAATCAAAATGTAGTTAAACTTCCAGAACTCAAACTTCATTAACTCGAATTTTCTATAACTCGAACCAAAAGGAGTGCACCAAGGTTTTAGAGAGCAAATTACCTGCAATTCCGCTTCCATAACTCAATCTTCTATAACTCGAATTTCGCTCTAACTCGAACAAAAAATTTTTCCCGTAACGATCGAAATATAAGGAAAGTGCATTCTATAAGTCGAATTTTTGTGTTAAGTATGAATCCATTTTGCTGTTAGGGGAAGTCCCTTTTTCCGAACCAAATGTTTAATTTTTTCTTTTTTATTTTGCTTCTTTGTGCAAATGTCAGTTGCTGGCAGCGTGGTTTAAAGTAAATAAAATAACTTCTAATGAGCTTGACTTGATAACTTATATTGAGCTTGACAATGAAATTTGGAAAGTAATGAAGAGGTGGATGAAATTGTTCATTAGCTTTCGAAGAATGGAGTAGAAAACGCATTCAAAATTTTGAATTACTATTTACAAACGAATGATACTCTACTCTAACTGATGATCACTATAAGGCTTGGAATAAATTGGAATCTTTTTTTACTGAAAATACGAAAAAGAATTAACATTCCAAACCCTGATTTTTGAATATTTTACTTTACTATAACTTTTGTGCTGTATTTGATTGCAAATAAATTTTAGTTTCTTTCAAAAATAAAAAAAAAATAAAAAAATTCTCTAACTCGAAGTCGAACCTTTTCTTTGCAAAACGGTACTTTGAGTTATGGAAGTTGGACTGTATTATGATTTCCATTGCTCCGCTTGTCAATCCTGTTAATGTTGCTAATACACATAAGACTTAGCATAAATTTCGCATTTTAACGCACCCGGTGAACAGTCAGGTATCATATGTAATACACTCTTTAATACAGTAATCAATACTTTCCTCCTAATCAAAACCGATCCTGGTATTATATTCAATATTTTGCTTTTACTATCTGTAGACAGTGTTGACTGTAGTTTATTTCACATTATCGCATATCATCAAATTCTGCGAAAGAAAGAATTACCAGGTGCAACTAACCGTTTCGAAGTTATGACACTTCAATATTTTTCCCCCAAGCTAATTATATACGTATATTACTATTAAATACGATTCAAAATGATATACCATAAAATGCCTAAAACCATAATCATAGAAAGATATGCAATATATATCTATGTTTTTGTTTGAGATTATTTAAAAGAGAGTCGGTATTTTTTGTACTCTATGTAATTATTCACATCTACTTGAGTACTTTCAACAGTTTCATTTAGCGGTTTAATTGTAGCCTATCTTTGAATTGTTATATTTTTAAGTACCTCATTATGTCAAATCACTAAAAATCTATCTTTTAAAGAAATACGAGAACAATATAATATTTAATGAATTAACAAGTAAAGTGTAGTTTGAAAACAAAAAAATTTACTGAAAATAGTATTTAACAAAAATCTTTGTTGAGTTTTTTAAGTACAAATTTTAAGTTAAAATGTAAAAAATTCTTAACATTCATTGTAGTTCGCATAAATAGAAGAAGAAGAAGATGAAGAAGAAGAAATTTTATATATGCAGATATGGACGTATCCGTGCTGAATGCACTTGGCTTGAAAACATAATTTCGTTTGCATTCTACCATAACAATGCGCACGCCATGCGAGCGAGTCTATCTATCGGATTGTAGTACGTTTTATGAATATTCTTCTTCTTTATATTGTTTTCCATTTTTTGTTCCGCATTTGGTTTTAGAGTTATTTTAGGTCGTTTCTCCCATATTTAACGGAAACCCACAACAACATTTGATATGCCCCACCGCGCATGCAATTACAATTCCAAACAGCGTCAGAGTGAAAATATTGTAGACATATTCATACTTTCTGGTGCACGAGTACAGATGTTTTTGAAATATTCACAATTTATGTTGAAAATGTTGTTATCGAAAGAAGGGAAAAATTCATCTTAATTGTAAAAAAATGCATTTAAAATATAATGAAACAATTTTAAGGTAAAATGCAGACAATTATGCTTTGAGATATGAGAGTGTAAAGATACAAATTTTTTTTTACCACTTTCGTGAGAAGTTGTTACAAATATAATATGAAGATGTTCTTTTTCAAGTTCCCCACAGCATAGCATAAGCTTATTAACTTATTAACTTAATAACTTAAGCATTAAAATATTATTAGTTAAAATTTATTCAACTATAAAACCACAATTAGAAATTCTATCTCAATGTTGGCTAGGAAGAATTGCATTTTACAATAGGTAGCCATAGTTCAGTAGACAATATCGACGACCTAATTCCGATTGAATTACATAAGTTTTTGGTTACAGAAACAATGCACCAATAACATAAATTGATGTTGTCTATAACCTACAAAGTATTAAAATAATAATATAAAATATCTTAACCTAATTTACTAATTATAATAACATATATTGCATGTTTACATATATACTATTGTATATAATAAAGTATTTAATTAAAACACTGAAGATGTCTACAATTTCAAATAAATAAAGAAATTTCTTTGTCTTGTGCTAATAAAAACTTATTTTTAAATAAGTAAATTTTTGAATCATACAGTAAGTTCGAATAAACAAAGATAAATTTTAATTCGAACATTAGGCGTCGAAAGAACTGCATTCTAGACATTCAATTTTTTACCATTTTTAAACCATTTTTTGAAACATGGCCTCAATGTTTCACAAACATTGTCTTACAACTACAAGTATCTCACAGAAAGCATTTCATCACACAGTTTTGGTGGTCAAGTAACTAATCTGTTTCTGGAGATAATAAAGACAACGTTGTTATCAAATTCATTCTTTACTTAGTTAATTGTTGTTCTAAAAGTATGGCATGTGTATAACTCTGTTGAAGGGTAAAATTTATCAGTTCTGATACTTTTAAAAATAAGAAAAGATTTAACGTAGCTATTTGTATTATCGGGCCCTTCGAGGTGATGCCACTACGAATTAATCACATTTACATTGGCCTCAAATGGCACATTTTGGTCAAAAATCGAAAATGAGAAGCAAATGAATTTTTGAATATAAAATCTCAAGCGCAAATTAGATCCATTGCATCGCATTCTGTAGAAATGAGTTCCAACGAGGTTAGAATGAGTTCCAAATATGTTTCAAATGCAAATGAATACATTGAACATACCATAAATAAAAGCTTTTCAAGGTATTTTGACAGTTTGAGAAAGCTGTTTTGGACATATTTACAAAAAAAGGTAAACAAATGTTTGGTGGTTACATTTCCTTAAAATCGATGCACCTCTTTTTAGAACTTCTACCTTCCAAAAAAAAAAGAACTTCTACCTTAATCGAAGTTAAAAATATGTTTTCAGTTTATATTGTAAGGTTTGAAGGTATATTTAACCATCATGCAGCATTTTTTTGTCACAGGCCAAAAATTAAATAATCAGGCAAGTTGAAAAATCAGCTGTTTGAAATGAGAACAAATGAATTACAACGAATGTAAACACTTTCAAATGGCTCATTCGAAATGAGCCAACATAATTTTGTTGCCCAATCAAATATTTCTAGAGAAATTCAACATTTTTTGTAGAAGTGCAAAACAGCTAATAAGTTCAAGATAATCTTGCTACTCTTGCAAGATATTTGCAGTGTTATAAATTAATCTCAAATGTTATACATTTTGCTCGAGATTTACCAATCGAAAATAAAAATTGCACTGAAAGTGAATCTCGGTTAAAAAAGTTACCTCAGACTTACCAATCGAAAGAAAGCAGCATATGTAAGTACGGTGTAACCTAATCAATCAATTTTTTGAGGGTTAACACATCAATAAAACGGTAAAATATAGATATCTTAATTGGACTTCCAGAATTTGTTAATATTATTCAAACGAGCAACAAAAACCGAAATTTTATTCGGTTGGTATTACAAATCTTTCATACATTTTTATAAATTGTAAAATATTTTGTCTGCATGAGTAAGTCAATAGGCCAATAATTTGATTAAAACCATAATAAAATTATTAAGTTAGAAATATTTTGCTGAGTTGTTTTGTTCTACATAATCCACTTAAAATTACATTAAAAGAATATGTATAGGAGTAGATGCTAGTTTGTTCTATATGCAAAATTTTAA